TGAGAACCAGAAAAACCAGAAAGCCAAAAATTTGCAGGGATGTGCCCATACCAAGTATGACCCTTCCGTTTTAACGTAATCATCCGTGAACACCTGGGTGCAGCGTACAGACGCTTTAAAAAAATATGCAGATTTTTTGGCGGGGAGGCGATCTCGGGAACCAGACAAGGTAAGGGGCCGAAACTTTGATGAGATATTTCCTGTGCTTGTGTTAGCTAAAGGTTTCAAGTTCAGCCTCAGCTATGCGCGGTACTCCCGTAAGGGCGTATGAAAGTTTCTGCGAGAAAATTACTAACTCGGAACCAGAAGGGCAAGAAAACTGAAGTTTTAGTGGAGTGCTCCCTGTCCAAGTACAACTTGGTATTTCAAATTCAGCCTTGAAGTATGTGTGATCCTTATGTCCGGCAATTAAAGTTTTGACGAAAAATTTCTCACTGAACAGCTAGGTTATTTTTAAAGAAAGACTGTTAAATGGAAATTTTACATTTAATGCAAAATTTATGGTGACTTATGCCAGTGACCGCAAAAGGTAGGCGTAAAGCAACAACCATTCATGCAGTTAATGACCTGAGTACTTCAAGTCCAGTGCAAGAACGCATGGTCGCGCCCGATACGTTCCAGCCTAAGTTTTCCCATTTTTACCGTATCCTATCCCTATACTCCCACATAATTCAGTTCTACATAGCAAAAGCCGGTGCGCACATTTCCGGTAGTGAATAATTAATAGCTGTATTGTATCCAACTGTGCCAACTGGATACAAAGGGGTGAATATGGTGGGGCGCCTCCTTGTGGAGGCCCCTCTCCCTATATAAACCTTCTTTTCCCCCATTCAACGTTCTGAGCACTTTATTCACTTCTGGGCACCCAGTTCGACGCATGATTCGGTCCTCGTTTCCCCAGACGTACTGATTCGGAATCAATAAGAAGTCTACCAACTTTAATGATCTTCATTCCGGCGTTCTACTTATTTCTTTGCTCGATTTTATATAGATGCTCGAGTTTATTTCGCGTTTTCTGTAGCTATGCAATGCAGAAAACGCATATTGACGAGGGGTTGTCTGTGTGCCTGTGTGTCCGTGTGTGCGTCTGTCACGATTTTTCATCTCAAAACCTACAAAAACTACAGGGCTGAAACTTTGGGAACTTAATCCATATGCACGTTTGGGCTCCAACTCCCAAAATAGACGCCATTACCCGCGTGGTGCCCACGTAAGAGCCCGCCAAAGTGTTTTACAGGTAAGTTCATAACTCGGGGATTTGAGAGGCTAGAACGCTGGAATTCTAAGGGGATGTGCCTCGTCCAAGTGGGTATTAATGAGCTCAAACCCAGCCCCAAGTAAGCGTGTACCCACGTACAGGCCCGCCAAAATTTTTTTCAGGTAAGTTCATAACTCGGGGATCTGAGAAGCTAGAATGCTGAAATTTTACAGGAACGTTCCCTGTCCACGTAAATCTTAATGAGTTTCAAACCAGTTTCCGGGTACACGTGATACCTACGTACGGGCTTGCCACATTCTTTTCCTGATAAATTGATAACTCGAGTACTTGAAAAGCTAAAGGATTGTAATTCTAAGAGGATATTCCCCGCCCACCTAAGTCTCATTCAGCTCAAACCCAGCCCTCGAGTATGCTTGGTACCACGCACGGGATCACCAGAGTTCTTTTCGAGCAAGTTGCTAACTCGAGAACCTGAGAAGCTAGAAGACTGTAGTTTTAAGATGATCCCCGCACACGTAATTCAACGAGCTCAAACCCAGTCATCGGGGATGCGTAATACCCACGTACAGGCCCGTGAAAATCTTTTCCAGTAAGTTGCTAACTCAGGAGCCAGGAAAGCTATAAAGTTGAAATTTTAAGGGGTGTTTCCTAACAGTTCTGACGGCATTTGCCGAAAAAACCGGTGTCGGTGACGACAAAAATTGCGGGAAACTATGCAAAAAACGCATCTTGGCACGGGCAGCCCGTGCGTTAGCCAGTTATTTTTCATTGCTAAGTTTACCTAAAGTTGGTGTAATAAAAACCATGCTTTTCGTTTTTCTTGCCTGCGGCCACAACGATACTGTTATTCCTCACACCATATTCGTCAAAAACATTTACTCTAATGTGTGCTCTTTGTATTGTCAGAATCTGGGCATTTCGGTGCGCTTTGTAGTGCCAATGAATAGCTGAATCGTGCACTGCTTTCTATCTAATTTATCGAAAAATATTCATCTGTCTTAAGTAAAAAAAATTCGTCTGTACAGTTTTTCATTTGAGACAAACAAATCGAAAGTGTCTGTTGCATCGCCTTTCAGACTGCGTCTTCTTTTACTAGAGAGCGTAAAAACAGTAATCGAGATAGGTGGTGCGTACGATGACGCGTAATAGAGATGTTCACCGCCCCGTTGAAAAGATGTGAAGGCATACAAGCTAGGCTGCTTGCGAGGCACAAATTTGAAGTGACAGGCCCAAGCTAATTCATGCTCTAAATCTCCTGTTTACGACCCTTGATTGTTCAGGAATACGAAGAAATACATCCTCATTGGCACAACAAAGCAAGGATGGGTGGGAAGGGAGATGCAAAGTGGCACTCGCTGTCCATCAACGAAATGACTCGATGAAACACACTCGCAGCAAGCAGTAACATCAAATTAAGTAAACTGAAAAACGTACCAGTGTCTGCAGTGAGAGTACCAGAATCGAGGGCGCACGTTCGGATCACGATTGTCTGCGATGTGTCGTCCGCTGCAAAAAATTTCTGTTTCGAGGGCTGTAACTCACAGCAAGTAGTTCTTGACATAACCAAGGCACACACACACACCGCTGATAACATCCCAGATAATGTCTCTATTATGCCACCTGTTGTACCGGGACAGCTCTTACCTCCATACTGCTACGTTGGTTATTTTCCAGTTTTACCAACCCAGGAAGCAAGGCGCACCAGGATTTTCTGTACGATCATGCGTTTTTGCAGTCATAAATTCGTTGTATCCCTGTGCGAGACATTAGCACGAGCGACAAGTGCTGTTACGTTTTTCATACTCTACAAAATCAAACTGTATCTTCATAACACTTCAGCTTTCTTGTCTGCTTGAATGCCGAGGGAGTAGGAGACCGCAGACTGCAGTTTAAACATTTGATATATTAGTACGCTGTCAGGTAGATGCGTAAGCAAAAGCTCATTTTATGCTTTCCAACCCCCACGTGCACGCAAACATCCTCAGAAAAATTCTACTTCCTACTCCGAGTTCTGAGTTAATTGGGCGCCAAACTGCTTCGAATTAAGCATTCACTTATACGCTTGCGCGGCCTAAACGTGCTTTAAAGGCTGAATTTAAAATATTTAGACAAGATATTGGCACAGAAACGTGGCACCAAGTTTCACGTATCTCTGAACACGTATGGGCACGTCAAAGTTTTGACCAGAAAATTGCCAATTCGGGAAACAGAAAGGCTGGAAAGCTAAATTTTTGATGGGATGTTCCCCACCCACGTACAGTTAAAGATTTCGAGTTCAGTCTCTAAGTACGCCTGATTCTCACGAACAAAAACTTAAAAATTTTGGCGAGCAAATTGCTAACTCGGTAAGCAGAACAGCCAGACCACTTTCAGTAAACGATTGTTCTCCTTCGTGTAAGATTTACCGCAATTTACAGTAACGAGTGTACAAGTTAAATGTAAAGCAACAAACATCTATATTGTTAATGGCTTGACTTTTTCAGTTTAGCGCAAAAACGCATGGTCACACCAGCAAGCCTGATGCGTTGCAACCTAAGTTCGATTATAAGTTTAATATAAGGCGCTTGGACTAGATTATCAGTTTTTATCTAACTCTACCACTTACCAATCACTCTCCTCTCAGCATTTAAGCGCTTACAGCTATTTTCTACTTTTTTGACGTGTTTTAGAATTCCTCAGATGATTTAGCGCCATTCTGGTCAAACTTTGAACCTCATCAGCTAACTTTGCAGCCTCGTGGTGCTGTGCTCCCCTCCTTTCCAGTAACTTCTCTGTTCATGAACATTCCTGTCCTTCCGGTTTTTGAAATAATTTTATACTTTTTCAATACATGTCATGACTAATATCTCTATTTCTATACTTGTCCTGGATAATTTGTGCAAGTCAGGTTTTTCTCATTTTCTTCAACAAAAAGATCTTAGTCTCTTCTTGACCGAGTACACGGTAAACGATACTCTTTCGCTGCCCTCTCTCTGCGTGCTCTACTGCCACAAATGAATTTCACTGGCGAATAAAGGGGAATTGCAGTCTTTTAACTTTTTATTTCCCCCTTTAAGCATTATGTTCGTGGAGTCAAGCCAGTTGACCTTGGACCCTCTACTATCGTCTGCACTGTTTGCGCAGCACTTTAGATTTTTCATGTCCCAAGCAAACAAGGAGGAAGTGCCGATGACGTACTTCGGTGTCCGTTCACTTTGATGCAGTGATCGGCGGGAAACAAGCCATGCCTCTGTTTCTTGAATGCCCAACAGGGGTACTGATAATTGCTGACACCGATCGTGTTCGGTTCCTCGAGGATCACCGTCGAATTGAATGTATCCTCGCAAGTCGGGTTTGAACCATTGAATGAAGAGCACACGAAACATCCGATACTTCCCACTCCTGCAAAGTAAGCAACAACTCAATGCGCAGATAAAAAACGACACCGTAACAACAGAACTCCACTACAGCGTTCTTTGAGTAAAAACTGACTGCACTTTGAATGCAAGTACAGAAGCCATCTCTTTTTCACCTCTCTTTCACAGTGCTGAAGAGCATCGGATGCTCCAATTAGCTATTCTTATTCGCTTTTATTTTTATACCCGTATCCTGGTCAGCTCATGTATATGTGTGTGCATACATACTTGGGTATGTATGTATGTGTGTATGGCTGCATGTATGTACATATTTAAGTATGTATGTATGAGTACATGTATATGTGTGCGTATGTGTATACATGTATTTATGTATGTATGTATTCATATGTATATGTTTATATGTGTTTGTTTATGTATGTATGTGTGTTTGCGTATATGCGTACATGTATATATGTATGCGTACAACATGTCTGTAGAATGCACGTATGAATGTATACACAACTGGGTAAATATGTATGTACTTGTATTTTTCTGATAATTCAACATGGGAGCCAGAAAAGCCTCGAAGTACGGATGGTGGAATAATGGTTGCCGGACGCGTACAAAATCGTAAATGAGAAATTAGGTTTCAGATGTTGTCCCCACTACAATTTTAAAAAAAAGGCAGTGTAGTTTGGTTCTAGAAACCGGCAGCAGATTGAACGTTAACAAGGTTTTCAAGTTGAGTCTGCGCTGTAAAAAGCCTGAAATCAGCCTTCAGTCACCGTTACATCTCAACCATAGACCAGATTCTAATCTTATGAGCGCATAGTCGCACCGGTCGCAGATGCCAGTCATGTGTTGTTCTAATAATGGACTTGAACACTAATTCTGCTCGATCTGAAGGCATTTTTCACTATTGCGAAACGACTTGCTGCTTACCGGGTGCAACAGTGACCATTGTGACAATAAAGAGAAGTTGGCCGATGCGAAGTATCGGCTTGACCAGTAGAAAATTTATGCAAGGCGCCATAAGCGCCTCACACCAACGCCTTCCAACTTCTTGTGAATTATGCCAGTTGTCGTGCGGATAAGACGGCAGAGCAACTCGTCTTCAGCTGACGACTGCAGTAAACTGTTTTTTTCCGAAGGCAGCAGCAACAGTGCCACTAGTAGCAGCAGTAGCGGTAGTAGCAGAAGTAATAGCAAGAAGTGCAGACAAAACAGCAAAAAATTACAGAAATTACTGGACTAATTTATCACGCATGAAGAGGATTCACAGTGGTGCAGTGATCTGGAACAGGAAGAGAGAGGGGTAGCTTGGTGGCTCGTAGAGCAGTGCCAAGTAGCCGTCCCCCCTCTCCATCCGAAAACAGTGAAGTCCACCACAGCACTGTTCAAAGCTACTCTGGGACAAGTGACTACTATTTTTTTTCCTGAACAACGTGGAACCGTGCGTTTGTATCTTTTCTTCTTCGAGACGGCACCTGGAAAAGCAGGACGAACAGCTCCGAAGGGCGATTTGAATGACTGTGACACGGATCGATATGCAGAAGTGATCGTGCATTTCAGGCGACAGTACTCTTTTTACGTGTACAACGCCAGTGAATCAACTCAACTTACAAATGCATTTTCAAATAAATCCATCTTTCCCGTCTTCTCTCTCCTTGTTATCTCTTTCTCCTTCTCGGAATTTATTGTTATTACTTCGAAGCTGACTTAGATATTGGGCCTATGATATATTACCAGTCACAACCATTGCCACTAGCTGTTACGATAAATAACAGAAGTAAGCACTATGCCCAGAGAATGAACACGGGACAGGAAGATATCAAAAAGCCAAGCTAAATCAAACATGGCATCGAAACATATTCCACTGTCTGGCTACTAGTGCTTTCACCGAGAATATAGTACTTGTGTTAAGGAAAGGAAAGTGGCATCAAAAGCAAGATCATGGCTGGTTTGCTCTATAAATTCGGAGGCCGAAACTCAGAATGCGGGATGGAGGCTTGAATCTTGCTCCATCAGGGAATTTTAGGCTAGAGTTTCGAATACAATATTTGGTCTCCTAGCAACTATGTTGACAGCCTTCGCCAATTAAGTGAGCAGCACCCTTTGAAAGCGCAAAGGCCAAGGGTGATGGATAGATGAAGGTACTTTGTTCAGCTGCCATTTTGCAAAGAAATATGCCAAAATGTAGTTTCATAAATGTGAGAAGGTGAAACTAATATTGCTCGGCTGAAAAATATCCCATCCCTCCAGGGCATCATCCATCCATCATCGCCAAAAAATGAGGTCGGTAGAAGAAACAGACATTTATCTTCCTAGCTGACAACCCGAACTTTCACTAATCGCTCATTTTTTAGAATGATGAGGTAATAAGGAATGGGAGTGGAAGCTGTTTCTTATACAAACATAACTTTCGAATGAGTCCATTTACATCCATTCGTTAGAAGATATTTCGTAATAAAATTAGATTTGCGGGAATTTTAGAGGGCATCCTAAAACACAGGTAGCCTTTTGGGCTTTTGGAATGCAAGGAAGGCTCCTACGAATGACATTTTTGCAACTCATCTAAAGGCACCAAAATGGTGTTCTCCGGACAACAAAGTGCAATATGCGATTCCAACTGAAACAAACGCAAAGTGTTACCAGGATTAATGGGACACAGTCGTGGCACTGATTTTCTCCTGTGGAGTGAGCACCGGAGAAGGGAGAGAAAAGATGCCGCAGCTTATTCGCAAAAACACATAATGTGAGCCTTGTCTGCATGTGCATTCGGTTATTAGCTCCAGGAAAAGTGGAAGATTTAATTTTCTGAGCACTGTTTGGTTATGGTATGGGTCCAGGAACCTGAAAACAATTTCGCTTTCCCTTGTCTCATGAACAAATAAGCTGGGTTTAAAACAGCACAGTTGAATGCTGCAGCTATCAGTGGGATTAATCTGGAGGATGTGACTGCAGATCCACATGCTTTCCTGTGACCGCATTAGCAGAAATCTGATCTGAAATTTTAGGAACATAGACCTTAGCCAGGTCTTAGAATGCAGACCTGAAATCATTTTACATTTGTCCCCCTTTCTATTTCGTGGTTTGTGACAGCAAGTTTGACTAGTTTTATAACTCGAGAATCAAGAAAGTTGCCACATGAAAGTTTGGAAAACTAGCTGAACAATTAACTTAGGGCCAATGACCAGCACGCCCAAGCCTTGCTGATACGCTGCTCGATAATCTAAATACGTTATTTAGGTGGACTTTGGAAACTCTAAAAAGATGAGCGGGAGCTGAAAATTTTTGCCTTTACTTATACGCTTATGCTGACTGAATCTTTCGGAATCAGCTTTCAAAATTAGCATATTTTTTGCATTTTTTATAGGCATTTAATTGTATGTATTCATGTGTCCGTCGCGGTATTTCAGCACCGCCACCTGTTAAGCTGGGAAAATTAAAATCTGGGAGCACAGTTTCTGGCCATGCCGGTTCAAATAAGTGGTAGCGATTTTCACGTTTTTCTATGTCTTACGCATGAAACGCATAATTTATCGATATGAGCTGCAGCAAGCAAATATACAGTTTCAGACGACACACTGAATATCGATTAGACAGAATTGTTCAAAAATGTAAACCTGCATCAGTGGCCTAGTGCGCGTTACTGTTTATTTATACCTTGAATTATTAAACCGATTTAATGGTTTTTGGGAATAGCAAGCTAGTGAATGAGTCATACGTCAGCTAATCACGATGAACTCTTGATCAGTCCAGTGTATTAAAAAAAAATTATGACTTTCTTTGTACTCCATATCAGGGTATTGTTTCGATAAGACATCATATTTTAACAAAATATATCGGAAACACACACACGCAAACAACCTTTTGACAATATGCGTTTTATGCAGCTGTTGCACGCATAAAAAGCCAAGTTTGAAACCTGATTTCAAGCCGTTTAACCTACTTTAAGTAGTCAATTCAAACACCAGAATTTCATAAATTTGGGCCTAAGATCAAGAGAAGCACAGATTGGGAGCTAATTTCAGCAAACATGCGAAGAAGTCTTTAATACACCCCAAAGTTTTCAACTTATCATCTTTTCGATTCGAATATTAAGAAATTAACTGAGTTTGAGCCTGTAGTCATTGATCGAGGTACCACAGAGGCGTACTTGATTTTGGGTTTGCTCCGAATTTCTGTCGAAACGCACAAACACATTCATACAGATAGTTTTGCGTTTTTATTTGCGTATATCAACTACGCAAAAGCGCGAAACTGCGACACGCATTAAAAAACCGACACGATCACACGCTAGTTAAAAAAAAAATTATTCTGGATGTGGTTTTTCCCAGAACAAATTATATGTGTCTTTGACTTGTTTGCGCGGAGTTATTCCAGGTAAGTGTAGGTGTTGCCAGTAGTGCGCCTTGATGATTTTTTGACCTGCACTGCATAATAAATGCACCAAAACGAAGATTTTTTGCCGGCTTTGCTCTCTCTTCACAGCAATAATACTTAGACGCAAGGTCCGCGTAGAAGTTATCTGTTCTGAAATCAGTGCCTTCAGAGTTCGCTGCATCCAGCCTTATAAATTCAGATCAAAATTTTGACTGGATCTCCGATTTCAGAAGGAAACTAGCTAGAAGACACTCGGTTTCCTGAGCTCATATTTGTCTACGCAAAATGACATAAAACAGTGGACAATCAAATTTCAAAGCCTGCTGTCCACTGACCTATGATCATCAATTTAAGTTTGAGAAATGTTGTAATTTTGAAGTGGTGTGAATTACGAATTCGAAATTTTTCCAGAACAAATAGAAATAAAAGGCACAAAAAAAGAAACAAAAGCCATAATTAGCTACTGCAACACAGTATACACAGATATTTGCGCACTTGCTTAAAGCACAAACACATACATAACGTGCTTTCGCTGTCCGTAATGTAATACATAAATCCAGTATTCCTGTTCCTTCGTTTCACCTCAATTTCTGGAATTACGCTTATTTATAAGAAGCATAAAAGCGTTGGGAACAACTGACTGAAAACAGAGATATGTGGCCTTGCCGGCTGTCCTCCACTGTCAAAATTAACTCCCAACAGCTCATTTTGACTGTACTGGGACATTTTGAAGCTCATTACGACATTTTTGAGCTTGCTAAAACTCTCAGTACGGTCTCTTAATTAATGAAAGTGCTGCAGCACTTTCTGTCTTCTGATGTAAGCAGACCTTTCTTAACGCCAGTTTTGGAGGCCGAAAAACGAATCCCTCAAAGCGTACAGTATGAGTTATAAAGCTTAGTCAAGAAAAGAGCTGGTAGCAATGTGCTGATTTTGATTTGCTCAGAAACAAGTATTAAAACATGCTCAAGGTTCTAGATCCAAAGCCACTTGAATTCAGGCCTTTCCTGATACACAGTCTTTCCTATTTCTAATCTAAATGTCCTTGACGGGCATTATCTCCCACCTGGAAAAACTGCTCCCCCCTACTTGTACTTGAATCTTATCTGCTTAAGTTATCAGATCATCTCATCATTTTTAATGAATTTTGTGCATAGCGTGAAGTTGATTTCACCTCTGATATAAGTAATATGGTGTAGCTTTTATATGCTGGTCACTGACTTCTGCAAGTGACAGCGAGTAAGCAAAAAAAGTGAGCTCGCCATGAAATGCCTACTTGTTGGAGGCAAGGGTACAATCAAGGTGTAATTCAGCTTGTGGGAGATTGGCAAGCTTTAGTAGCCAGTTCACGGTACACGGAAAAGCTTGTTCATCGGGAAAGTAAAATATCGAATTTCAGAAAAGCAGCAGCATGAGGAGTTGTGCTAAAGGGAGTTGAAGGGGAGTTCAGGAGAAAAGCAATAAAGAAAGCTGAAAGAAGGATGACGAAAGACAGGTGGTGCTTGACTGCTGCTGCGAGAAAACGAAATGAATTGAAAATGGATTCGGATGCAATAAGAAAACCAGAAGAAAAACGATTTTTTGAAGGGAAATGTAAATTGAACTTTGCCAGTGAATACATACATTGATTTACTGTCCTCTCTCTGG